CTGCTATAAGTCTAAGTGCAAGGGCTCTTGCATTTTACAAAACTGGGCTCGGTCTTCGTAAAGCCGACAGCTGTCCCAAGTTATATTATGTTCTCTATTTCAGATCTAGGAGTACTTTTCAAGATGTGGAGTGTTTCCCTCCGTCTACTCTCTGCCAACGCTGATGCACTTAGCAAAGCTGGAAGGGGATCAGCCATAGGAGCTGGTCCATGTTTCTTGCTCCAGTGCTTAACTCATTGTTTAGCCCATGTTATTTTGATTTATGTATGGTGCACAGATGTCATAAGTGTAACTGCTCTTCACAATCATGGCTTCATCCTTCCCCAGATGGAATTCCGATTAACAATCCCAGAGTTTTTGGACGAGGAAGGAGGGTCAAACAATGTACTTAACACAGGGGAGAATTTCAATATCAGATCTAGGAGGAAAGCAACAAACCACAATGTCCTTGGATTTTCTTATTTCTCTCCAGGGTCTATAGCCTGTAGCATGAAGCAGCTTGCTTGCTGCACTATTTTGTGACTCGATTCTTGTGGGATGCTTTTGTTTATCCCAACACATTACAAATGCAAAAGAAACCCTCATTTCCAAAATATTTAAAAGGTGGAAAAAACACACACACACACCCTTATTTGCAATACCCTGCAAAGAAAGCAAAAAAGAGATTTGCTTCACCCATCTCTAATTCTGCATTAAACCTTTGGCTAGCAGGGTGCATAATCTCTCTGTCGTGCTGCTTTCCTGTCTCAGACAATCAACGTTACCACAGCTAAAATTCCCACCTGTCTGCTCCTCTCTCTCTCTTTTTTTTTTTATTTAATTGAGAGATTTTTCCACCCATTGGTGTGTACATCTCTGCAGGCCCAGGAAAGGGAGTTCTGAACGCTCGGCAGCTCATGAATGAGATTAACAAAGGAGAGAGAAAAAAAAATGTTGACAGCTTTTCAAAAGGGAAAGTAGCCAGATCACTTCTAAGCCCCAAGAAACTTTTAGTGGTAAGCTCCTTTTCTAACATCAATCAGGGAGCTGCTGGGATTCCATTATCTGGCTGCAGGTGCTCACCTAAGGCAGAGCATATATCTCCGTTTTTAAGCTCTGTCATCTTTCCAAACTAAAACTCCACAAAGCTTTTATCCCAAAGGGCAAATAAGACACGGGCTACAGGTAGGGAAAGGACAGAAGGTCCTAAAGGTAAAGGTTCCCCTCGCACATAGGTGCTAGTCATTCCCGACTCTAGGGGGTGGTGCTCATCTCCGTTTCAAAACCGAAGAGCCAGCGCTGTCCGAAGATGTCTCCGTGGTCATGTGGCCGGCATGACTCAATGCCAAAGGCACCCAGAATGCTGTTCCCTTCCCACCAAAGGTGGTCGCTATTTTTTCTACTTGCATTTTTTACATGCTTTCGAACTGCTAAGTTGGCAGAAGCTGGGACAAGTAATGAGAGCTCACCCTGTTTCGCGGCACTAGGGATTCGAACCGCTGAACTGCCGACCTTTCAATCGACAAGCTCAGCGTCTTAGCCACTGAGCCACAGCATCCCTATTAGAGGGTCCTACACAGACTCATAATATAAGGAACGGAAGCAACCTTAGAAATTGCTTAGAATGTACAGTGGTCTAAAGCACCCTGTTATTAAGCTGGTTATTAAGACCAGCTGCCTGCAATTACTGCAGGTTCGAATCTCGCCAAGGCTCAAGGTTGGCTCAGCCTTCCATCCTTTCTAAGGTAGGTAAATTGAGGACCCAGTTTGTGGGGGCAATAAGCTGACTTTGTATAAATATACAAAAGAATGAAGGCTATTGCTTAGCGCATTGTAAGCCGCCCTGAGTCTCCGGAGAAGGGCGGCATATAAATCAAATTAAAAAAAAATAAAAATGACCTAGTCTAACTTCCAGTTCAGCACAGAATCTGCCACTGGTAGACTTTGACTTAACACCACAACTGAGCACAGGATTTCCTTTGCTAAGCAAGACGGTGGTTACGTGAGTTTTTTCCCCATTTTACGACCTGCTCCTAGTCGAAAAGTGAATCCCAGCAGTTGTTAAGTTAGCAACCCGGTTGTTAAGTGACTCTGCCTTTCCCATTGACTTTGCTCGTTAGAAGGTCGCCAAAGGTGATAGCATGACCCCGAAGACACTCCAACCATCATAAATATGAATCAGTGGCCAAGCATCTGAATTTGGATCACGTGATCATGGGGATGCTACAACGGTCTTCAGTGTGAAAAATGGCGACAAATCTCTTTCTTCAGTGCTGTTGTAACTTTGGTCCCTCAATGAATGGTTGTGAGTCAAGGACTATCTGTACCACAGCATCCCTACCAGGACTTTCAGGTCTCTGAAATACCGTGTTTCTCCAAAAATAAGACCCTGTCTTATATTTTTTTTGAACCCCAAAATAAGCATTTGGCCTTATTTTCGGGGAGATCTTATTATTTTGGGGCGCAAGGAGCAAGATGGGGCTCCTCTTGCTGTCTTACCTGATTTCCAGCTCTGCGTTTAAATATTTTCAGGGAGGGCTTATTTTCGGGGGGAGGCTTATTTTAGTGCATGCACTCAAAAGCCCAATTGGGCTTATTATCTTATTTTCAGGGAAACAGGGTATTCCCTGTGAAGAAGACTTGACCACTCAATCCCCAGAGAGGTTGCAGGATTTGGCTAGTCTAGAGAAAAGAAGGACTAGACAGGACACGATAACAGTATTCCAGTATTTGAGAGGTTGCCACAAAGAAGAGGAGAGGGTCAATTTATTTTCCAAAGCACCAGAAGGCAGGACAAGATACAATGGATGGAACCTAATCAAGGAGAGAAGCAACCTGGAATTGAAGAGAAACTTCCTAACCGTGAGGACAATTAACCAGTGGAACAGCTTGCCACCAGAAGTTGTAGGGGCTTCATCACTGGAGGTTTTTAAGAAGAGACTGGACAGCCACTTGTCTGGAATGGTATAGGATCTCTTGCTTGAGCAGGGGGTTAGACTAGAAGCAGGGGTGAAATCCAAAAATTTTCCCTACCGGTTCTGTGTGTGTGGCTTGGTGGGCATGGCAGGGGAAGGATCAGGGGTGGGTTCTAAATTTTTTTACTACCGGTTCTGTGGGCGTGGCTTATTTTGTGGGTGTGGCTTGGAGGTCATGTGACTAGGTGGGCGTGGCTAGCTGGTCAGAGTCATTTCTGGAAGGTCCTTGCACTTACGACCGACTCATTTGTTTGCTTTTAACGCTGATCAGCTGTAGGACGGCCCTTTGAAGCCCCGCGGCAAGAGTTTAAACAGTTTTTTTCCCTCTAGTCATCAGCTGGGACTCAGGAGGCAGCAATAGATTGGGGGTGGGACCAAATAAAAGGTAAGAATAACGTGGGGGGGTGGGAGAACAGGTTCAGTGACGTCATATCGTCACTGCTACCGGCTCGGCCGAACCGGACCGAACTGGAAGGAACCCACCACTGGGAAGGATATTGCAAAATCTCCATTCCCACCCCACTCTGAGGCCAGCCAGAGGTGGTAGTTCTCTGAACTACTTAAAATATCCGCTACCGGTTCTCCAGAACCTGTTAGATCCTGCTGGATTTCCCCCCTGATTAGAAGACCTCCAAGGTCCCTTCCAACTCTATTCTGTAACACATCTAGTCAAAATGGCACAATTTGCATGAAGAGTATTATAAGGTGGCTAAGAAAAGTCCAAAGTTTGCCAAAGAAAAGAGAGAGAGAAAGAGAGAGAGAGAGGATTCCTAAACTTCTGACTGGATATTGAATGTGGCCATTAAATTCAGCTTTCATTCAATACTTTAGAAATTATCTTTTTTCTGCCTCATGTCTGGTTGGCTGAACAGGAATCTCTATATCAATACGCGACTGAAAGTCTCCAATGTTTTGCTAGCACAAACGTGCAACCTTTGTGATGCAACCAAGGAGATGAACCCAATTTGAGGACAGATTAACAGAGTTGGAAGAGCCCTTGGAGGTCATCTAGTCCAACCCCCTGCCCAAGCAGGAGACCCTACACCATTTCTGACAGAGGGCAGGCCAGTCTCTTCTTGAAAGCTTCCAGTGATGAAGGTCTCACAACCTCCGAAGGCAACTTCTGTTTCATGGGTTGATTGTTCTGTCAGAAAAGTTCTCCTTATTTCCAGGTTGAATCGCTCCTTGATCAGTTTCCATCCATTATTCCTTGTTTGGCCTTCAGGTGCTTTGGAAAATAGCTTGATCCCTTCCCGTCTGTGGCAGCCCCTCAAATATTGGAAGACTGCTATCATGTTAGTTATCACCTTTAAAGCACTCCATGCTTAGGACCTGGGTACCTTCGAGACCATCTTTTGCCACCAATAGCCTCCCACCGACCAGTTCGTTCTCACAGGGAGGGACTACTCAGGGTACCGTCAGTCAAATTATGCCGACTGGCGACTCCCAGGGGGAGGGCCTTCTCTGTGGGGGCTCCAACCCTTTGGAATGAACTGCCCCCGGAGATACGAAATATCCCTGATCTCCGTGCTCTCCGCCGTGCCCTCAAGACCCTGATGTTCCAACAGGCGGGGCTAAACATACGAACATGTGAATGATTTTTTTAAATGTTATCTAATTCTGGGTTTTATTTAATTGACCAAACTAAGTAATAATTTTAATTAGCAATTTTATGATGTTTGTGTGTCTATATTTTTCTTGACTGTACACCGCCTTGAGTCCTACGGGAGAAAGGCGGTATAGAATAAATAAATAAATAAATAAATAAATAAATAAATAAATAAATAAATAAATAAATAAATGTCTCCCCTTCACTTCACTAGACTAGCCATGCCCAGTTCCTGCAACCGTCCTTCGTATGTTTTAGCCTCCAGTCCCCTTTTTCTCCCAGCCTTCCTGTTGATTCCTCAAACCTTCGTCTCTATCCTACAAACACCCACACTCTGCAAGACTGTGCCTTCCTCTATCCATCCCCCATACACACACACACACACACACACACACACACACACCCCACAATGACAATAGGTTGATGCTGATAACTACCAGTCCACCACAGGTGCTGAGTGAAGCAAAAGACTCGTGACTGCGGTTGAGCACATGGCCCGTGTAGAAGCAGAGCTGGTCTACTGCCTGTTGATGACGGCGGATGCTTCGGTTCTCGTCGATTTCTTCTACGGAGAAACCAGGAGCCAAAAACTGATCATCGTGGTGGAGCATCAGGTAGAGATCAGAGGTAGGATGAAGCCCAGCACTGAGAGGCAGGCGAATCAGCAATTGGGCAGCATCTTCAGCCAACGGTAGGGATGCAGAACGTCGCCTCCGAGCCTTGTTAGGGCCACTTTTGGGGGGTTGCAGAAAATGGACTCTGTCGAGAGGAACCTGCTCTGGAATCACCACGGCCAGCTCCGCCACAGCTGCAAAGGACAAAGAGAAGAAGGGTTGATATCAGGAAGCATCCAGCTACCCCCATCTCCCGTAATCAAAGCAACTTTTTTCCTCTAATTCAGGAGTCGGCAACCTTAAACACTCAAAGAGCCACAAAGGTCCTAACCGGAAGCCCCCATTCAATTCTGGAGCCGACCAGAGGTCTGGTTCCCCCACCATAGAGTCTCCTCCTAGTGCGGCGTCCTTTTTCCTATGCCGACCGGAAGTCTGGTTCACCACCACCACCACTACCATAGAGTCTCCCCCTAGCACAGCGTCCTTTTTCCTCTACCTATCCTAACATTCAATTGTGGAGCCGACCAGCAACAGGGAGCCGCAGCAGCAGAGGGATGAAAGAGCCACATGCGGCTCCAGAGCCCCAGGTTGCTGACCCCTGCTCTAATTTGTTAACATTCTGAGCTTAGGAGGAGTCAACCCCTGACCTTCGGTGCTAGTTGTTAGAAAATGACAATGAAAAAAAAATGCTCTTATCCTCCATCCTAAATCTGTGAGTTTCCCAAATGGATCTAGCTAGACTAGAAAGATCCGGAGCGTGATCCAGAAAGCTCTTCTTATCTTCTTGAATGGAGCTAGGATTTGCAGGATTTCAATCCATCAGAACAGAGCTGGAAGGGACCTTGGAGGTCTTCTGCTCAGCCTCCTGATCAAGCAGGAGAACCTATACCATTTCAAGACAAGTGACGGTCCAGTCTCTTCTTAAAAGCCTCCAGTGATGAAGCACTCACAGCTTCTGAAGGCAAAAACTTAGATAAGTTCCGAAGGAGACTGTCAGGCTTTATCTAAGCTAAAGTCCAGAATCTCTTGTCAGGGTCCCAGATCAAGGCTGGAGAATGAGCCCTTGAATAGACAGAAAACCAAGGAGGAAGCACTACATGGAATCTCTCACAAGAGTACCTTGTATGCCAATAGTGGCCCTGCAGAATTTCACACTGAGATTTCTAAATTAATTTATTTAGCTAATGCATATAAGGCCAGGGAGGCTATAATGCGATACACAGAGATGGGTTTCAGCAGGTTCTGACCAATTCTGCAGAACCGGTAGTGGAAATTTTGAGTAGTTCGGAGAACCGGCAAATACCACCTCTGACTGGCCCCACCCCCATCTATTCTCTGCCTCCTGAGTCCCAGCTGATCGGGAGGAAATGGGGATTTTGCAGTATCCTTCCCCCGGAGTAGGGTAGGAAGGGACATTTTACAGTATCCTTCCTCTGCCATGCCCACCAAGCCATGCCACATCCACCAAACCACACCCACAGAACCGGTAGTAAAAACATTTGAAACCCACCACTGAGATAACACACAGTAGAAGTCCTGCCTGTACTTCTTTCTAGAGATCTTCCACTTCCGGTGAATGCAGCCAGATCTTGCTGCCCTACAATTATCTTCAAGCACAAAGAAACCTGACAGCATACAGCACAATTCCACAATAAAACAGCTACAAGATACTCAAGTACAGGTAGTCCTCTAGTTACAACACCTCATTTAGTGACCGTTCAAAGTCACAACGTCGCTGAAAAAAGCGACTTACGACCGTTTTTCACAATTGCAACCTTCATGGCAACATGTTCTCGTTTTGCAGCAAAGGGCACACAGAAGAAGGGAGACCCTCCCAACCACAGATAAAGGCACCTATCTGACTGAGCCTTGGTGGCACAGCAGACTAAAGCGTTGTTAAGTAACACCAGCTGCCTGCAATTACTGCAAGTTCAAATCTCACCAGGCTCAAGGTTGACTCAGCCTTCCATCCTTCCGAGGTAGGTAAAATGAGGACCCGGATTGTGGGGGCAATAAGCTGACTTTGTATAAAAAAGAACACCGCTTGGGGTGGGGGGGGGGCGGCGAAAGCCCTACTAAGCAGGTATATACAAAAGTATGAAGGCTACTGCTTAACGCATTGTAAGCCGCCCTGAGTCTCCGGAGAAGGGCGGCATTTAAATCGAACCAATAAATAAATAAACTTGAAGACCCCCCCCACACACACACACACGCGCGCGCGCCGAGGGGCAAGAAGCGCTTCGCAAAAGCGGCTCTGCACCCGATCCAGTCCTATCTCTCACCCTAGCGGGGGTTGGGGCACTTAAAGCGTTCCGCTCACCGCCCCCGATTCTTGCAAAAGTAGGATATTTCCAATCTGGAAACAAGAGGCGTCCTTTTTGGATAAAGTGGGAGGGGGGGAATGGGACACCCCCCTTCCCGTCTAGAGCAGAAGATGGAGGGAGGGAAAGGGAGAAGGTACGGAAGGAAGAAGATGCGTGCAGTTCGGCTTTGCAGCACCCCGCATCTCGGGGCTTTGTTAACACCCCAAATCTCGGGGCTTTGCAGCACCCCTCATTTTGTGGCTTTGCAGCACCCCGCATCTTGGGCTTTGCAGCACCCCGCATTTTGTGGCTTTGCAGCACCCCGCATCTCGGGACTTTGTTAACACCCCAAATCTCGGGGCTTTGCAACACCTCTCATTTTGTGGCTTTGCAGCACCCCTCATTTTGTGGCTTTGCAGCACCCCTCATTTTGTGGTTTTGCAGCACCCCGCAACTTGGCAGGCAGGGCGTTTGCAAACTCCCCGAACCAGCCGCATCGTTTAAGAGGCGTTTTGCAAGCAGCAAGCACCCCCCCACACACCCACACCCACACCCACAATGCCGTTTCCCCCCTTCCCGAGAGGGATCCGTCCGTAGCTAGCAAAGATGCTCCGGGTAGGGAAAGAGGGAGGAAGAAGAGCCCAGAGTCTTCCTACCTGTCTCGGGACTCGCTTGGCCAAGGACGAGCAGCAGAGCGAAGAGCGGGGGCGAAGTAAAGAACAGGAAGGGGCCGTCAAACATTTTAATTGTAGTCGAGGGGCCCCCAGGAACTGGGCTGCAGAAGCCGGGAATTGGGGAGGGAAGCGGGAGTCGATGGCAGCAGGCAGGCAGGCAGCAAAAACTCTCGGCTGGGACTAATCGCGAAGCCCTCCCAGATTTTTTGGGGGGGGAAAGAAAATAATAATTAACTCCTACAGACAAACTCAACGTGGTTTACAGAAAGGGAGGAAAGGGGAGGAGAAGGGAGGAAAGGAAAAGTGGGGGTGGAGGGGGGGGCAGAAGAGAAAGTGGAAGGGGGGGTGGGAAGAAAAAAAAAACTTTGGAGGTAAAGTGCTGATTGGAAGCTTGATCTGCCGGAGCTGCACCTCCTGCCCGCTGATTGGCCGTCGGAATTAACACACTCGGGTAAATAGCGAAGTTGTAAACTGAGCTGCGGTACACGTGGGTGGCGGGTGAAGGCCGAGGGACGGCGGCAGGGGGCGCTCGAGAGGCGAAGAAGGGGAGGCTCCTTGCCGCGTCTGGATGGGGGAGACGCGGGCAGCCCGCGGCTGTCCTCAGCACCATTCCTGGCTTGGGGTTGGCCTTCCATCCTTCGCTTTGTCTGCAGATGTTCAGCAGGTGAAGGGACCTGTATCAGTGGTGAAATCTACAATTTGTTACTACCGGTTCTGTGGACGTGACTTGGTGGTGGGGGGGTAATGTGACTGGTTGGGTGTGGCCAATTTTATTTTATTTTTTACTTTTAAAACCATTTTTTCTAAAAATGCTTTCAAAAGGCTCTGACGATCCCAGCTGAGTTGCCTGATTGTCCATTAGGCAACTCAGCTGGGATCGTCAGCTTGGATCCTGAGGCATTTAAAAGAAAAAAAAAACTTTTTTTCTTTTAAATGGCTCTGACGATCCCAGCTGAGTTGCCTTGATCATCAGGCAACTCAGCTGGGATCGTCAAAGGCATTTAAAAGAAAAAAAGCCTCTGATGATTGCGCGGCTCAGCTGGGCATGGGGGGGTGGGCAGGGATTTTTGCTACTGGTTCTCCGAACCACCCGTCTCCAGTCCGAACTGGGAGCATTTCACCCAGACCTATATATATATATATATAGACTCCCATAAGTCTAAGAAGAAACAACATAAAATGTCTGACAGGCCTGAAAGCGATGATTAGAGATTTCATCCCACCATGGCCATTTAACATCTTTTTTCAACATAGGAAAAAAACCCTGATTGCAAAAATATCACACATTTATACCTATGAATTAAAAGGAATATATATATGTGTGTGTGTGTGTGTGTGTGTGTGTGTGTATTTAAGGTTTTATTTGTTTTATTTATATATAACATTCAATTTTCATCAAACAGTTTGTGGCCTGGGTACAATTATTTTTAAATTATCATGATACACATATTTGTTGTGATATTCATCACTGTAATATTGATAATATAATAATATAATGAAAGGGACGGCAGAGAACGAGGTGGCTGGATGGAGTCACGGAAGCAGTCAGCGGGAGCTTAAATGGACTCCTGGGGATGGTAGAGGACAGGAAGGCCTGGAGGAACGTTGTCCATGGGGTCGCGATGGGTCGGACACGACTTCGCAACTAACAACTTCAACAAAATAATATAATAACCATAATACTTAACATCATCTTCTTTAAGAACTCTCCACTTTAGCATTTCCTCCTTTTTATATCTCCTCCTTTCTAACTTCTGTTTCTATTCTCTAGACATGGATAAAATATGTCCCATATCGAAAAATATTCAGTTTCTTCTTTATCCTTAATAGGAAGCGTTAGTCTATCCATTTCTGTGCATTCTAATGTTTCCTTAATTACATTCCCCTCAGACGGAATCTCATCATTAAGGGACCGATATTTTATCCACCACATTTTTTTCTTTTTTCTGTTTGGATTTGGACAATGTAGAGAACCATGGTTTGCTTAATTGTGGTTTACTGGCTGAGTCATAACTTGGCTCAGTTTCCAAGGGTTGTCTTTGTGCCGCACACTGTTTAATCCTGGTTTGTAGGATTAACACAGTTTGTGTTAATGCAACACTCTGAATGAACCACAAAGGAGTTGGCTCCATTTTAGCTGAGTGTTTTGTAGAAGCTCATCCACGGTAAACTGGGTTTAGGACGGGTGAAATCCAGCAGGTTCTGACAGGTTCTGGAGAACCGGTAGCGGAAATTTTGAGCAGTTTGGAGAACCGGCAAATGCCACCTCTGGCTGGCCCCAGAGTGGGGTGGGAATGGAGATTTTGCAATATCCTTCCCCCAGGAGTGGGGAAGGAATGGGGATTTTGCAGCATCCTTCACCTGCCACACCCACCAAGCCACACCCACAGAACCGGTAGCAAAAAAATGTGGATTTCACCACTGGTTTAGGATACCCATTGATAAGTGTGCTGAGTGTAAGTAAAAGCTTTCTAGATATGTAGAAGCAATGAGAGGCAAGTGTTTGAGTGGTACGGTGGCCTAGAGGCGGAGCTCTCGCCTCACAAAGCTGTGAGTTCGATCCTAGGTAGAATTACATATTTCTTTCTCTGGGCACACTGTGAATATATCTTCTGAATAAAACTCCGCATTGGCGACAGGAAGGGCATCTGGCCAGTAAACATTCAGTTCCATTCAGTTGCCCAGACTCCACGCCGCAAGGGATTATGGGGTCGTTCAAAGTGGATGACTGAGAAGCAAGTGTTTCAGAAGTTTTCCTCTTGAACTCTTAACCCTAGTTCGTTGCATAACATAATTAGGTTTATGTTGCATAAACATAAGCACATCTGAGTTTACGTGTTGAATTATACCAGCATCTCCAAACTAGATGCATTCTTTATATTAAACCACAGCATATCTGGAGGGGCATAACACGAGGAAAGGCTGCAGTGAACTTTCAATGGATGGCTTGCAAAGCATTAAGAACCAGCCACGTTTCGGACTTCCCGGCGTGTGAAATCATCCACTTTTGCTTTGCTATGGTTAATAATTAGCAGGCCTCTCTGAAATTAGAATTAAGTGCAGTGTTTGATCCAGCCACTAATTTTATGCACGGAAAGCTTTTCAAGGGACGGAGAGAGAAACTGGTGTGAGGTTGTGGCGCCACAAAAGCATCAGCTCTGCCGCGGAACTAGAGAGGGTCAAATCATGCACAGGAGCCCTGAGGGCATGAAAAGATGGCAGATTTGTTAGGGGGCTGCCTTGTTCCAAGTAGCCCCTTGGGCTGGGAAATACTGTGTTTCCCTGAAAATAAGACCCTGTCTTATATTTTTTTTGAACCCTGAAATAAGCGCTTGGCCTTATTGCCGTGCGCTCAAAAGCCCGATTGGGCTTATTATCGGGATGTCTTATTTTGGGGGAAACAGGGTAGATGTGTTTTTTTACCCCATGTTAGCGCATTGTACAACTCCATGGAGCTTATTGATTCCATGTGTCCAGTGGTGAAATGCAATTTTTTTTACTACTGGTTCTGTGGGCGTGACTTGGTGGGCATGGCTTGGTAGGCCTGGCAGGGGAGGGATACTGCAAAATTTCCATTCCCACCCCACTCCAGGGGAAGGATACTGCAAAATGCCCATTCCCACCCCACTCCAGGGGAAGGATACTGCAAAATGCCCATTCCCTCCCCACTCCTGGGGGAAGGATATTGCAAAAATCTCCATTCCCACCCCACTCTGAGGCCAGCCATAGGTGGTATCTGCCAGTTCTCCGAACTACTCAAAATTTCCGCTACCGGTTCTCCAGAACCTGTCAGAACCTGCTGGATTTCACCCCTGCATGTGTCCTGCAAAAGCAAAGTTAGATAAAACCACGCTTCAGTTAATCGTGAATCGGGACATCGGGCAAATGCAGCCTCTGAGATGCTGAGGGAAGGTTTCACCCCAAAATGGCCGCCTCTTTGGCTTGGCCTCCTGCTTCTTTCATTGGTCCACACAACTGGCTATACCTCCAATTTCTTCTCCCTCTCTCCTTCTCCTCTCCCTCCCTTTCTCTCCCTCCCTCCCTCTCCCCCTCTCTTCTCAGTATGGTAATTCACATCTATCAGACTTTCATGTCTTTGGAGACTCTCAGTCATCCAAGTCATGGTTGTCCCAAAGGTGCTTTTTCAAAGGGTAACTGGACTTCCTTGATTTTTTTTTCCCTTGAAGACATTTCGCCTCTCATCTAAGAAGCATCTTCAGTTCTTAAGAAGCTTCTTGGATGAGAAGTGAAACAACTTCAAGGAAAAACAAAGTCTAGTTGCCTTTTGAAAGAAAAAAAACCACCTTTGGGACTATCAGGCCTTCAGTTCCAGCTTTGGACTGTCATATGGTGCTTGAGTCATTTGTAAGTGGTAGGTTTTCTTTTCTTGTTTCTTTTTTTTTTATTAGAAACATCATCTTCCTCTGCTCCTTTTTTCAAATTTTTATTTCATCCTTCCTCTTGAAATACCCTCAAGAGGAGCCAAGTTTTGCAGATATGATTGCAAAATTAATAAGCCCTTGGAGACGTTGAACATATGTTATAAACATCTTTGCTAGAAGAAGCCGTTTGGCTCTCGGAGAGTTAATTTGGACGGGCATCAAAGTATTTTACATCTTTTCTCCTCTAGATAGCATCATTGGCTTCCTCTCAAAGGGATATATATATATATATGGAGATATATGGAGATATATGGAGATATGTATGTGTATATATATATAGAGAGAGAGAGAGAGAGATAGATAGATAGATAGATAGATAGATAGATAGATAGATAGATATAGATATAGATATATAGATAGATATAGATATAGATATAGATAGATAGATATAGATATAGATATATAGATATATATAGATATATATAGATATATAGATATATATATGGAGATATATATAGATATATATGGAGATTATATATATATATATATAGAGAGAGAGAGAGAGAGAGATATTCTTTCTTTTTCATAGGTTTTATGTGTATGTCTCTTTAGCCAGGTTCTACCTACGTAAACCAAGATGTTATGCAGCCCTAGTTCAGTGAACTCACAATTCACTAGTTTCTGGGCTTTTTTTTTTCCTTTTTCCTTTTTCTTTTCTTCTGGCAGCCAGCAGACGCTTTGCTGCCCATTGGGAGACTAAGATAGATCTATTTCGGCCTTATAAGGCCTCATCATGAATCTTGGTTTACGTAGGAAGAACCTGGCTAAAGAGAAATACACATATAGACCTACGAAAAGAAAAGAAAACAAATATGTGTATGTATATCTGTATGTATATATATGTGTGTGTGTGTGTGTGTGTGTGTGTGTGTGTGTGTATGTATGTATGTATGTATGTATGTATGTATGTATGTATGTATGGGTTTTTTATCGAAGCAACCTGGTCTACCCAAATATGGGAAGGAGCATACTGCTTCCTTTTCGCCTTTCAGTCCCAATCCAGGAGCCCTCAGTCAGTCGCTTTCACGACAAACTATTTTGTGTTAAATTTATATTTACTGACAAAGAAATAAAGGGAGACTAGTATAGATCTATTTCAAGCTATTTAGCTCTCAACAGCTAACCATACCCTGCTGGGATTCGAACCTGGGCTTGCTTGCATATTAGGCAGATGTATTAACCTCTAAGCCACAGGTTTTATTTCTTTGTCAGTAAATATAAATTTAACACAAAATAGTTTGTCGTGAAAGCGACTGCCTGAGGGCTCATGGATTGGGACTGAAAGGCGAAGAGGAAGCCATATGCTCCTTCCCATATTGGGGTAGACCACGTTGCTTTGATAGAAAACCCATTTAATCTCCCCTGGTGCAAGCTGACAAAGGATCGGTTGAATTGTTGTCAATTTCTATGAGGGAAGCGAAAGTGGATGTCTTAGCAGAGATTAACATCTTGACCAGAAATCCAAAGATGGTGGATTGCTGGTCACATAAGGACTGAATTCACAAAACATGCTAAACTCTAGCCGGCAGATGTCCATGGAGCTTCTCAGTCATCCAAGTCATGGTTGTCCCAAAGGCGCCTTTTTCAAGAGGCAAGTGGACTTTCTGGTTTTTCTTTGAAGACGTTTCGCTTCTCATCCAAGAAGCTGAAGAAGCTTCTTGGATGAGAAGCGAAACAACTTCGAAGAAAAACCAGAAAGTCCACTTGCCTCTTGAAAAAGGCATCTTTGGGTCTAGCCCCAGGGGTCTGCAACCTTAAACACTCAAAGAGCCATTTGGACCTGTTTCCCACAGAAAAAACAACAACAACACAGGGAGCCACAAAACCTGGGTGGGCGTGGCCAATTCCACATCACTCACTCCCACCCAGTCACATGACTCCCCCCTAGTCACGCCTACCCAGCTGGTCATTAGGACAGAGAACCGGTTGTTAAAAAACACCGGGAACCACAAAACCCTTTTCTCTCTTTCTCTCCCCCTCTCTCTCTGTATCTCTCTATGTCTCTCTCTCTCCTCCTCTCTCCTTTCTCTCTCTCTCTCTCTCTCTATGTCTCTCTCTCTCCTCCTCTCTCTCTCTCTCTCTATCTATGTCTCTCTCTCTCCTCCTCTCTCCTTTCTCTCTCTCTCTCTCTCTATGTCTCTCCCTCTCCCTCTCTCCCCTCTCTCTGTATCTATGTCTCTCTCCTCCTCCTCTCTCTCCTCTCTCTCTCTCTCTATGTCTCTCCCTCTCCCTCTCTCCCCTCTCTCTGTATCTATGTCTCTCTCTCCTCCTCCTCTCTCTCCCTCTCCTCTCCCTCTCTGTATCTATGTCTCTCCCTCTCCTCTCTCCCCCCTCTTCTGTATCTTGAATTTCCAAGGCCAAGCGAGGAATGACTGGGAGAGGAGGGTGAGGGGCGGGGCCAACCAGTGATGGGACAGGGAGATGCAGCAGAGGGCCCAAAGAGCCACATGCGGCTCCGAAGTCGCGGGTTGCTAACACCCGGTCTAGCCAGCAAAACCCAATTGCTGTGTTCATGTACAACAGAGAAAAGGAGCTCTACTTGAAACTTTGGTCCAGCCTAAATGAAATCAACCCAGTGTGTTCTTTGGAAGCTGAAACTCAAATCCTTTGGCCACTAAATGAGAAGAGGGGACTCCTTGGAAAATATCCCAATATTGGGAAAGATGGGAGGCAGAAGGAGACAGCAGAAGATGAGATGGTTAGATGGTGTCATTGACGCAATGAACTTGAGTTTGGGTAAACTCTGGGAGATCATGCAGGATGGGGGAACCTGGTGTGTTGCGGTCCATGAGGATCCAAGGAGTTGGAACACAACTTAGAGACTGGACAATAATAACTTAAACTTTTAAAGCTTCTTTGGCACAATCCCTCCAACTTTTGGAGCACTATTCCTAAAAACCATGCCATGGGTACCTGGAAGAGCACACTAAGTTTTGGCTAAAAGTTTCATCTTTACATTCAACAAGTGTAACCAAAGGCCTCCGTTTGGGAGTCTTTGCTGGAATCGCAGAATCTGTTAGAGTAGACGCTTCTTTAGTTTAACCTCTGCACTTCCCACAACTGAATTAAATCTATCTGCAGACATCAAGGAACTCTGCGTTTTGATCTGAAGGAATGAAGACGCTTCCTTCTTTTTACGAGCAGACAAAGGATTGCCAGGCATAGCAGTGAAAGATGCAAGATAGCTATAGATGGATGGATGGATGAACAGACAGAGAGATGCACAATAGATAGATAGATGGAGATAGAGAGACAGACAGACAAACAGACAGAAGATGGATGATAGATGAGAAAGAGAGAGAGAGAGAGATGAAAGATGGATGAAAGATAGATGACAGACCGACCGACCGACCAACAGACAGACAGACAGACAGCTTTCTGAATGGACCGTTTCTGCAGTTTTAAGTTTGCACAATCTCAGGTTCTAGGTGTAAAATATGGTGTGCAAAACCCAAAGAGAATTTGCAGAAGATAACATGGTCTATAGCAGTGATGGTGAACCTTTTCAGCACCGAGTGCCAAAAAGGAAGCACTTCGTGCGCGCGCACACACGCGCACTTCTCAGGGCCACAACCCGGAAGAAGAGCTACCCAGGGGGCATGCTTGTGCTGGGAAGGTACTTCTGGTTCCCGGTGCGCGCATAGACGCCGGCCAGCACGTCTTCCGGTTACTGCATGTGCGCATGCTGATGCTGACGCTGACGCTGGAAAACAGAAGAACAGCTTTTCCGGTTTCCGGCACCTCCGCACACAGAAAGGCCAGCTGATCGTCGCTTGCACATGTGTGCCAGAAACCCAGAAGAGGAACAGGTGATGCCACACGTGCCAGGCGACAGGGCTCCATGTGCCACTTCGGGCACGTGTGCCATAGGTTCACCATCACAGGTCTATAGTGTATCTTGATGCACTTGATTTCTATTGGACCTTTTTTTGTATAATATTTTTTTCTCCCTGTAGCAACCATCAAGTGAAATGGATAAGGTGAAGAAGGATAATGACTTTCCAAGGAACCAGCGATTACCAAAGGTTAAATACAAATAGTGAATTCTGGGTTCCACAACCCAAGTTTTCTACTGTGTTGTGTGAACTCAGGCACTGGACCGGACTGAACTGAACGCTCCTTGTTTGAGTAAAAACGCTGTGATGCCATACAGAGACTATAAACACACTGTGGAATGTAGCCAAGGGCAAAAGGCAATTACTTTGATGTCACGGGGCTTCAAAGAAAAGGAAATGAAGATCAGGGCATAAAGGAGCACCTTACCCATTATCCACTCACTCTGCTGGTTACTTAATCCAAAGCAGAGTGGAGATTCCATAGCTTCCTGTGCAGAGTAGTGTAGCTCTACTGCCCCTTAGTGACCATTTCCCAGCAATAGTAAGCCATTTACTAAAAATGTCTATGGAGATTCTCAGACATCCATGGTTATCCCAAAGGTGTTTTTTTTTTTCCAGGAGTGATTTCCGCTTTTGAAATAGCCGCAACTTGCTTCTTTCGCGTCCTTTGCTCATAATGTTTCGCTAACCAGGGAAACCTTTACTTTTATTTCTGCTGAAAGAGCTACCGTATTTGCAGGAGGGCTAGTAAGAAAGAGATGCACTTAAATACGCGTAATGTACTGTAGGTTGGCTTGCCCCAAAGGAGCTTTTTTCAAAAGGCAACTGGACTTTCCTTGTTTCTTCCTTGAAGACATTTCGCTTCTCCTCCAAGAAGCTTCTTCAATTCTTCAGTCCAGTGGGAAGGAAAAAAACCCCACCTTTTGGGACATTTACTAAGAAAGGCAAGTGACTTCCTAACGCCAACGGTAATTCTGCTCCAGTTTAGTTTTTAGTTTACTTTATTGTCATTGCACCTCGTACAATGAACACTTGTCCTGTCAGGTTGACTCAGCCTTCCATCCTTCCGAGGTGGGTAAAATGAGGACCCAGATTGTTGGGGGCAATAGGGGTGACTCTGTAAACCGCTTAGAGAGGGCTGCAAAGCATTGTGAAGCGATATATAAGTCTAAGTGCTATTGCTATAAGGCTTGATCCACAAGGCTAGCTCCTATTTGCCCAAACATCACAAAAAAGCAACGTATTATTTAAAAAGTGTCCAGGTGATATTTTCCCCATTTCCATGGGATCACACTTTATCTCTAAATAAAACAATCCAGAATACACAAAGAATGAAAATCAAGACTATATAATGAAAGACAAAAGTATAAATAAAAAGGAAATCAGAGTCGGAAGAATTCAAAAAAGAAAACAAGGTTGGCCTTAATACAGTTCGAGGACATGGCTTTAATCCTAATCTAGATATTCCTGTCTACTTTTGCTAATTTCTATATAAATAATCCAATGTATTCGGAGTACCACTTTGGTGTAGTGGTTAAAAGTACTAGAAGACCATGAATTCTAGTCTTGGCGTAGGCAGTATGCCGGATGGGTGATTTGGGGGGGACAGTCACTCGCTCTCAATCAAGAGAAGATTGTTTTTTTTTTAAATTTAAGAACATTTATATGGCCACCCAACTGAGTCTCAACGACACCTGGTGGCGTAGGACATCAATTTCCAGAAATGTTGTCAAATCCATGCAGTTGCAAGAACTCAAGACTGACTGGAAGGTACACTCAGGAACCAGTGAAATTTAGAATATAAATTCTAAAACCATTGCATTAAAACCAGAATTCACTTCTGGGCTCGGCAATTACATCTGACAATTACTGCATGGATTTTCCTTATATAAAACCATCCCATTCTTCAATAAAATCAGTATAAAGCCACACTTCTCAAATCGTACTAAAACATTATTAAAAACTTGTCCAAACTGTTTTAAGACTTATCAAAATTTAAATACATGAAAATCTCAGCCTAAAAATGTTATATTCTAAACCATTCAGAGTTGTTGTTTTTTTTAAAAAAAATTATTATTATTTCATTGCATATCCTCTAGACTGCATATTGCAAAGGCTCTCTTTTTCAAAAGTGTGTACCCTCCTAAGTCTAACGATCTGCAATAAAACCATTTGTGGACTTTGGTTTTGATGCGGATGTAAAAGTCTGTATGGTGTGTTGGGTTTATGACACAGCAGATAATGGCACTAGGAGATGGTATTGGCTGGGCATTAATTAATATTATTATTATTTAGGAGAGGGTCATTTAATCCATTCTTCATTCCTTTCTTCATACACTCCCCTTCAGTATCGCTGAGAGAGTCTTCTTCTTCTTCTTCTTCTTCATCACTCCGTTCATCTTTAATATTCTAGGAAGGAAGAATAGCAAAAGTGTTAAGAAAAGCCAATTATGCACTATGTGGATTGCTTGGCGTTACGGAAAACAAGGAAGAAAATGTGAGGTGTAGACCAACAGTGATTGATTATCAGGTACCAAGGATCAGGAATGTGAAGTTAGGTTACATGTCCACTGACTTGTGGATAAGAGTTTGTGAAAAGCGTAGAAAGAATAATTCTAAAGCAATAATGAAGGAATATCAGACTTTATACTCGTATGTATTTTTGGACATCTTTTCAATTTGTGGCACCCCCTAAAATTTGATGTCCTGGATGACTGCTTAGGTTGTTGCCTAAGCTTACAACTGACCCTAGTGCAATCCTCCACACATATAAAGGTACAGGTTCCCCTTGCACATATGTGCTAGTCGTTCCCGACTCTAGGGGGCAGTGCTCATCTCCGTTTCAAACCCAAAGAGCCAGCGCTGTCCAAAGACGTCTCCGAAGACTCAACACCAAAGGCGCACGGAATGCTGTTACCTTCCCACCAAAGGTGGTCCCTATTTTTCTACTTGCATTTTTTACCTGCTTTCGAACTGCTCGGTTGGCGGAAGCTGGGACAAGTAACAGGAGCTCACCCCGTTATGCGGCACTAGGGATTCGAACCGCTGAACTGCCAACCTTTTGATCGACAAGCTCAGTGCCTTAGCCACTGAGCCACCACATCCCTACACACACAATGTCCCTTTATTTATACTGAAACCGTGCAAATGCTTTAGCTTGGAAGACTGTTACTTTGAGAGCTGCCCTGACTCTCCTTGCACAGCAAGAACACATTTTCATTGGATCTTTGGTGGGGGGTTATTGGATTTGTATTGGGGTTTTATTTTCATAAGCCACCCAGAGACTCTGTGAGTGAGTTGGGCAGCCGTATAAATTTTCTTAATAAGTAAATAAGTAAATCTTAGGTTCATTCTTAGATCTGCCACTTTATATATATATGCTCATAAGGCCTTGATAGTACAGTGGTATACGCACCCTGTTATTAACACAGCTGCCTGCAATTTCTGCTGGTTCGAATCTCTCCAAGGCTCAAGGTTGACTCAGCCTTCCATCCTTTCTAAGGTAGGTGAAATGAGGACCCAGTTTGTGGGGGCAATAAGCTGACTTTGTATAAATATACAAAAGGATGAAGGCTATTGCTTAACGCATTGTAAGCCGCCCTGAGTCTCCGAAGAAGGGCGGCATATAAATCAAATTAAAAAAAAAAAAAGGCCATATCAGACTACTCTTAGGTAGTAGTTTACACAAGGTTGGGACTGAGGGGTCCTTGGGGCTCTCTGAGCTTAGTTGTTTTCTTGGAGACGTTTCATTACCAAACTAGGTAACATCATCGGTGCTTGCAGACATTGCATTGAGTAATGCAATGACCACCTCCTCTCCGTCCTCCTGCCTGCAAACTCCCACTCTCTTCTAGCACTGATGATGTTATCTAGTTGGGAAATGAAACGTCTGCAAGAAAACCACCAAGCTCAGAGAGCATCAAGGATCCCATAGTTGTCATTGTCCTCCTCCTTCTCCTCCTCCTCCTCTCTGCACACGCCATTCCCTTCTAACACTGATGATGTTACCTAGTTGGGTAATAAAACATCTGCAAGAAAATCACCAAGCTCAGAGAGCATCAAGGACCCTTCATTTTAACCCTGAACTACCAATAGCCGCCTTTTTGGTACCAAATATAGGCATCAAACGCTTGAGAGAGCATGCAGAGTTTGGAATTGCCCATTTCCACCTCGGTACGCTTAGTTTCCATGAAAACAGAGCAAAGCTAGAGCAGAAAACGAAAACACAGATAGACTCCACCAGCTTGGCCACACAGCACAAACTTCCTGGGGGTTTCTCTCTTTTGTCTTTTCCAAAGCTACACGCAGAAGTGTATCCAAACAAACAATCCCCGGTGTAAATATTGAAAGATAAACTTGGCACACGATCAGAGAAAGGAAAGGAAAAGCATCTTTCCGCACACAAACAATTGATGAGGTATATCACGTTGGCCAAATCACTCCTAGGACTTCCTGGGTAGAATTTCCCTTTGCCCTTCACGTAAGGCAACAAGTTCTTTTGGGGCTCCATCACAACTGTTGTTAAGATTTTACAGAGATGGGGAGATGGGCGGGACCCTCCATGAATGATATAGGTGCCTCCTATACATAAAGGTAAAGGTTCCCCTCGCAATGCAGTTTGTTTTCAAGATCTCTGTGACTACAAGGACTAGCGATCTTACTGAATTATCCATTTTAGTTTGCAATTTTTACCTCTTCTCGGTCTCTTCTCACCTATCAGCTAAGCAATTATTAGCACTCAATGAAAAGATAAAAGATTCCCCTCGCACGTATGTGCTAGTTGTTCCCAACTCTAGGGGGCGGTGCTCATCTCCGTTTCAAAGCCGAAGAGCCAGCACTGTCCGAAGACGTCTCCGTGGTCATGTGGCCGGCATGACTCAACGCCAAAGGCATATGGAACGCTGTTACCGTCCCACCAAAGGTGGTCCCTATTTTTCTACTTGCATTTTTTACGTGCTTTCGAACTGCTAGGTTGGCAGAAGCTGGGACAAGTAATGGGAGCTCCCCCGTTATGCGGCACTAGGGATTCGAACTGCTGAACTGCCGACCTTTCGATCGACAAGCTCAGCATCTTAGCCACTGAGCCACCGCCTCCTATAGAGAGAGGAAATCTTTTGATGGAAATATTTGGTTTATGTTCTAGGGTTGGGTTTAGAACGTTCTAAGGTTGCCTCATTGTATAAGATGCACACAAATTTTCACCTCCTTTTAGGTGGGGGGGAAAGGTGCGTCTTATACTCTGAAAAATACGGTAAATCTTGAGGATAATGAGCTGAGGTGACGCAGTGGTTAGAGTGCAGCACTGCAGGCTACTTCAGCTGACTGCTAGCTGCAGTTTTGCAGTTCAAATCTCACCGACTCAGCCTTCCATCCTTCTGAGGTCGGTAAAATGAGGACCCAGATTGTTGGGGCAAGATGCTGACTCTGTAAACCGCTTAGAGAGGGTTGCAAAAGCACTATGAAGCGGTACATAAGTCTTATTCCAATGAAATTGGAATAAAATACCATTTAAAATGAAATTGGAATAAAATACGATTTAGAATGAAATTGGAATAAAATGCAGTCTAAAATGAAGTCGGAATAGAATGCAATAATTTAAGATTAGATAAACATTTGTTAAGTGAATTTTACCCCGTTTTACAACCTTTCTTGCCACCGTTGTTAAGTGAATCACTGCAGTTGTTAAGTGAGCAACACGGTTGTTAAGTGAATCAGGCTCCCCCCACTGACTTTGCTTGTCTGAAGGTTGCAAAAGGGAATCACATGACCCCGGGATACTGCAACCGTCATAAGTATGAGTCAGTTGCCAAGTGCCTGAATTTTGATCCCATGACCAAGGGGTTGCTGCAAGGGTCAGAAGTGTGAGAAAAAGTCACTTATTTTCGCTTGGAAATTGAAACAGTCCCTAAATTTAACAGATTAACAGAGTTGGAAGCAGTGGTGGGTTTCAAAATTTTTTACTACCGGTTCTGGGGGTGTGGCTTGGTGGGTGTGGCATGGCTTGGTGGGCGTAGCTTGGTGGGCAAGGTAAGGTAAGGATATTGCAAAATCTCCATTCCCACCCCACCCCACCCTAGGGAAGGATAATGCAAAATCCCCATTTCCTCCCGATCAGCTGGGACTCGGGAGGCAGAGAATAGATGTGGGCGGGGCCAGTCAGAATGTTTACTACCGGTTCTCCGAACTACTCAAAATTTCCACTACCGGTTCTCCAGAACTGGTCAGAACCTGCTGAAACCCACCTCTGGTTGGAAGGGACCTTGCAGGTCATCTAGTCCAACCCCCTGCCCAAGCAGGAGACCCCTACATCTGCCTCTACCTAGGATCGAACTCACAACCTCCTGATTGTCAGGCAAGAGATCGATCTCTAGGACTGCCTGTAAATGATAAAACAGCAAGTAATCTTGATTGGGGATGATGATCCTGAAAGAGCAGAACAAAAAGAAAAGGATCTTTGTATTTTTTAAATCCAAACGAACCATATTAATTTGCCTTTCTCAAATCTAAATCCTGGCGTGTTCACACCTTTTCCGAAACCAAGATCAGCCTCCAATGTTATCGCTTCTTATAGCTGCCAAACCGCAACGCTTAATTTCAGATATGTTTCATTATCACTTGGATGAATCCAGTGGAGAGATAATGACTGTAAACTATAAACAGTTTTTAATACCGGTTGCAGACTTCATTAATTCTGTTAACTATGTTACTGAAATTCAATATGTCCCCTAGGGCACGGGGTCTTTGGACGCATGTCAAAAGCCCAGGTGGTCCCCCATTTGTGAGCCCCAATGTCCCGCTGCTTTCTGAGTGAATCCAATTATAAACCCATTCTTGGCAGTAAAACAAAGAACAGCATACCAAGACTTTTAGCCTTGTTTTAAGTGACTTTGTTAACCCTAAAATGATGCTTTGGATTGAACTAAAGGGCTCTGTGGTGTGAGAATCGGGCCCCCTTCAAGCTAACCCAAACCAATCCAAACAACAATTGAGATAATAAGATTTAGTGTATCCCACTGGGTACTGTAATCGGAAGGATTCAAAGAGAAATTGCAGGCTTGCATTTTTATTGAATCCTTTGAAAACTTTCCTCTAGGTATATTCATATATTTTGAAAGATCATTCGCAGGGCAGTTTGTTGTCAAGATCACTGTTGACTACAAGGGCTAGCGATCTTGCTGAATTATCCATTTTAGTTTGCAATTTTTACCTCTTCTCAGTCTCACCTATCAGCTAAGCAATTATTAGCACTCAATAAAAAGGTAAAGGTTCCCCTCGCACATATGTGCTAGTCGTTCCCGACTCTAGGGGGCAGTGCTCATCTCCGTTTCAAAGCCGAAGAGCCAGCGCTGTCCAAAGACGTCTCTGTGGTCATGTGGCCGGCATGATTCAATGCCAAAGGCGCACGGAAT